TGTGCAGTGGAAGCAGTGCAGCATGGCTGGAGAGCAGGTTGCAAGGAGAGGAATGTGAGAGGCCAGAGATGGCCTCAGGGAGTAGCTCATCCAGGACCCTGTAAGTGGCTTAAAGATGATGAACATTTTCTCAAGAGATTCACCCCCCAAAAAACCTGAACAGATTTCTTCAAAAATACTTTTGCTGCAGTTTGAAGAGTAAATTTTAAGAAGCCTCAGTCAGAAAGCTACAGCATTGTGCCCACATGACAGACTGTAGTAACTTGGACTAGGTAAAGCTAGAGAGAAATAGACAGACAAAAATGAGGAAGAGACAGATTTAAACTCATAAGGTAAAAATCAACAAAACTTAGTGATGGATTTGCTGTGGAGTGGGGAGAGAGCTAAGGATGACTGATCCTTGGGGTTCTGGCTTGAAGAATTGGAAGAATCAGAGCACTCTTCAATAGGGACAATGGGGGACTAGTTCAGAAGTTTAGCTTTGAACTGGCTGTTTAGGGTATCTCTGGAACATGCAAGTGAAGACAGTGTGAACTGGATATATCAACGTGGACCTAAGAGGCCTGGACTAGGGTTTTATATATAAAAGTCACAAAGATGTGACTGAGTAACTGAAGACCATGGGATGAGTGGAACTGCCCAAGAAAAGTATAGAGTGACAAGAGGAAAGGACTGAAGAAAGTGCCCAGAACAGCATTTGACATTTAAGGAATGTGTTGAGAAAACTGAGTCAGCAAAGAGAAAAGAAGGAACAGATAGAAAATAAGGGACATCCCAGGAACATGTGATACTATAGAAGTAAGCGAGGAGAACGTTTTAAACAAAGCTAGAGTGGTCAAATGGGTTTAGTACTGATGAAACTCAAGTAAGATCAAGACTAAAGACACCCATTGATTTAATTCATGTAGAAGTCACAGGTGACCTGATGGAGAATTGTCACAGTAGGATCACGGGGTTGCACACTTGAGTGGGTTGAGTGAATGGAGATTGAGAAAATTGGCAAAGTAAGTATTAACTAATCTTTAAAGGAATTTGAGTGGGAAGGAATTAGTATAAACATGGAGTAAAGAAGAACTTTTATAAATTGCTGAGATGAATATGGGGGTCATAATTTAAAATTTAATTGACCAATAATATGTAATAATTACTAAAATGTTATGATGCTTTATAATTTATGAAATAGATTTCCAAGTTGCTTCTTTTCCTATAATCTATTCAATTTCCACTTGCTTCTGGCATTTTGATATCTTCTTTTTGTTCCTCTCAATTCATTCCTTTACTTGTCATACCATGATGCATCCTTGTCATATAATTAAACCATAATTAATTATTATTATCTGAAAGTGGAATGGGATTGGGTGTTTTTGATTGGGCATAGTGATTCATGTTACGTTGATATTATGTTTTCTTTGCTTCCAAAGCTTTTTTTTTAAATGGACATTATATTCTACTTTGTTTACAGTTTCTTTGCCAACCAATGCATCTTGCTGTATTATGCCATAAGTGGCATAAAAGTGGCATAAGCTGAATATAACACTTTCCTGAAAGTGTTAGGTCATGTGACAAACTTTCTTGGTAAGTAAAATAGGAAATTCTTGTTCCTCCTTAACTTCAAGTAATACTGTTCTGACTTTTATAATAATCCATGAAAGTAATATATCACTTAATATAAAACAGATGCCCTATAACATCTTATTCTCAAAATGACCATTTGAGACTAATATGATTTTATAAATGAGTAAGTAAAGACTCAGTTTTATTATATAATTTGAACAAAATCACCCTACAAGTAAGTGGTAAAATTGGAAATAAAACCAAGTTTTCCTTAGCTCAATTTCTCTGCTCTTTGGAACATTTTTTCACATGGCTGAGTAGTGCAGAGTCAGAAGCATACATCAATCACTATGAATTTGTGGGCTGCTCCTAATCCAGTGACAGGGAAGATGTGCTTGGTCCCCAGGCAAGTATTCAGAGACCAGCTTGCATATTTTCTTTAATTCCAAACATAATTTAGCCAAATACATTAAGTAATGGAAGGCTTACTATTTATTT